TGATTTCTCCGCCTCGCGAAACATATGGTTAAGTAGTGGGACATGCACTCTTACTGGTATGGGACTCAAGGGAGGGTGTGGACTTTGAACTTAATTGTCCTAAAATGGATAGGCTTTTTATTAAAGGTGTTATATCACATCCGGCATACATCAGTGTTAGATCCTCATGGTGTCTGTAAAAATCATAATGGCCGAGAAAAAATACATATTTGATAACATTTCCACATATATCATGTATCGCGAGCATTAACATATGTGAATTAAAAGTATTGTTAATACAGACTTATATTTATAACCATCACTGAATAGGACCAAGCAGCAATTAAAGAAAAGATGCAATTGAACCCTTTCGCCCTTAGTTCAGCACACACCACTGGCCGTAGACAGTTACACTGTGACTTGTCGACGCTACACTGAGATTGACGAGCTACTGAATCTATTTATAACATTCTTTCACCATTTCCTTTAGCTTACAAGTTCATTAAAGANTTTTACAACAGAAAAGGCTTGGTGACAGTTACACTGTGACTTGTCGACGCTACACTGAGATTGACGAGCTACTGAATCTATTTAGAACATTCTTTCCCCATTTCCTTTAGCTTACAAGTTCATTAAAGAAGACCTCCGCTCTCTGGCTTTGAGTGGAATTTCAAAATGATCTCACATGGCTTTGAGCATCGTGATATTGAATGCCATGGTCGGAGCTTATCGTTTNGGGGGGGGGGGGGGGGGGGGGGCGCTTACAAGCGAGCGCCATAGGCGCTTACTCGTATGGGGTCTGTAGATATTTGTAAAATTATTATTTCAAGTATTTTTTGCTTGAAATTGGGGTGGATAAAGCCCCCTCCAGCTCCCCCAGCTCCGATGTCCCGTCTGCTGTTGAAAGAAGTTGATAATTGTACCCCATTTATGACCATACGGCTGAAAAACCAGACCCTTTGGGACCGCCCATACCTACATAGCCCATATTAGGGAGTACTTCTCGGGCACCAACGCTTAAATCCCATACCAGTAAGAGTGCATGTGGTTCGTAAGTTTTTTACTGTTATGTGTTACCCTCTGTAAATAAAGTTGTTACTTACTTACTTACTATATGTTTCGCGAGGCGGAGAAATCAAAGACAAACTATTTTTATGGCCAATAATTCTGGTGTCGTCAGAAAAAATGGGAAGAGTAGTAGTCTGTAGCTTACAGTTCTTGTTGACGCTACGTCTAGAGATTTCGAACTCACGCTCTGTTGAAGAGACTCG